AAAAAAGCTAGGGTTTCTAAGGACTCGGATTCGGAATTTGAGGGTGAAAATGAGTTTGTTGAGAAAAATGAGCTTATCGTGATTGAAATCTCCTCCGATATGGATGCTCAAACAGAAAGAGCAAACATGCTTGTGGATTCACCCATGAAGAAAATCATGGAAAATGGTGGGGTTACTGAAAAAGATGAAGTACCGGAAAATGCCGAAAGCAATGGAGGTAGTAAAAATGGTGATAAGCAAAAGGATGGCTTAGACGAGAATAGTAAAAATTGCAAATCGGGGAAAATTAGTGAATCCAATGCAGTAAAGGTTATTGAAGGTGGAAAAGCGCATATAATTGGCAATGGGGAGGGAAGTTTTAAGAATGCGGAGGAAAAAAATATAAAAATTGCACATGTTGCTTATTGGTTAAAGGCCAAAGGCTGTTTGCCAACTCCGGTTTGTGGTTGCGGACAAGTGGTCGCGGGCTCCGGCATGACTAGCGGTAAGATTTTAGGGTTCAATAAATTTGTGAATTTTGATTTCAATTTCTTGCCAATCGCCACTGCAAGTCGGAAGAGGAATTAATAATGATGAATGGATCAAGTACATCAAAATTTGAGTTGGGCTTAAAAAATAAAAAAACCAAAATGGTGAAAAATCTCATCTACTTTCAAAAATCGTTGATTATATACTAATCCATGTTTGTCCCCATTTTTTCAAAATTCTTTTTTCTACATACCCACTTTCTATCACATGTTCATACAATAAAATATTTTATACCGACTGCACGTAAATTCAAAATTTTTCCTTACTTTTTAACCATACATTCTTCAAAAAATTACTATTCATAATAATATTTTTTCAAAAAAATAACCACCAAACATGGCCTAATTATACTCTCTACTATCTTCCATTCATTTCCACCTCTCTTCCTTACCAACAAAGAAACCCTAGCAATCTCACTCTCCATATCCCCCCCTCCCCCCCTTCCAAAATAGATAAAGGCGTGTATGTGTGAGACAACGAGTGAGGTGGTGCTTGGTGGGTCTCGATTTTCTTGAATACTGTGTCATTTTTCTTTCTTGGGTCACTCATCTTCTCGTTCCTTTATAAAGTTTTTTCCCTTTGATTTATAATTCACTATTGATGTGCATGTAGTTTATCGGACATGTTTTGATGGTTGAATATTGAAAGGTTAAGACGTCTAAAACGTTAACCACTCTTAGTTCATCCCAATCTATTATCACTTTGAGGTTTTTTAACACTAAAAGCTATGAAACTATCACTTTTAATCTGTGGTGAGACTTCTCATTAAACACTAGTTAGTTGATATTTTAGTTTATTTTTTCACATATATCTCTTTTTCGCTATATACGGTCAGAATAAACAACATTCTCCGTCAACATCAATAAATTTTTGAAATAAAAAATTCAAAAGTTGGAAAAAAAATATAAAATTGCACATGTTGCTTATTGGTTAAAGGCATAAACCCAATGGCCGTCTGCCAACTCCGATTTGTGGTTGCGGGCTCCAACAAGGCTAGCGGTAATATTTCAGGGTTCAATAAATTT